AAAGCCTAATCAACCCACTAAAGGCTATCATCTGCATGTCTTAAAAATGAAAAAGCCCACAAGCCCAGCAACAATGAGGCCCATAAATAAAAGCCCAAGATACAGGCCCATTCTATTTCTCCTGGGCTTGGGCTTCGGAGCCCAACCCGCCGTAGAACCAACAGCCTGCTCTGTCTCCGGAACCGGAGACCCCACCGGCGGCTCAGTCTCCGGCAATGCAGCAGGCTCAGCAATCTCACGAGGTGAAGCATTACCGGCACCTGGGAGACCCGACAATGAGAGACGTTCCGGGAAGTTAAAAAAATGCTGATTATAAGTCTGATTGACCAAAAATAAATTCAGCTGGTTCGGCCCACCTGGGTGCATAACGGAAGAAGACGACGTATCTGGGTCTACATTGACGACGGCGCTGTCCTGCGGCGGGGGCGGCGAGTCGGGAGGATAACTGACGATTGACATGGAGTGCGAGTCGATGTCATGGTGGTGACTAGAACGGTAAGAACCAGGTGGTGAAATATTACCGCCTCCAAACATGGCGGATAACTCTTCAAGGTGGTGGAAAAATCCTCCTTCCTCCATGCTGAAAGCAAGCACGAAGATATACAAGGTGAACAGAAGTATACGTGGGTATACGTCACATTGAGGTTTTATATATACGTGCTGTATGTATCGCTCTTTGTCAGCGACAAATTGAGAAGCAAAAGAGAGAAGAGGAAATTGCTGAATTCGCTTTTTCGAATATTGTTCCAATGATCCGTTTTCCTAAATAGCTACGTTGCATGCAATTTTAATTTTATTTCCAAAATATATTTTCCTAAATATGAATAATACCAAATATCTGCATTACATTTCTTCTTCTGGGTTCATTGTAATATATAGAAATTGATTACCCCTTTAAAATTAAAAAGTTTATGTTATAAATTATTACTTTAATAAAATTATATGTTTTTTCATTTATAAAATAATGCAAGCCCATTGAATAGCCCATATGACTTGAAGTTGGAGATTAAATGGAGTTTTGGGTTATTTTAATGAATATTAATCCCCCATTGAACTCATTTTATGATCTTTCACTTTGATTAGATTTAATTTGATCAACTTGTAGAGAGATTTGATTGATTTAAACTTTTCTAACATCTTTCTCTTTCTTCCTCTTCTGATTGATTTAAGCTCAATACAAATGATTCTACTCGTACTAATCTAAGGATTGCAATCATCGATGGACTAATCAAAAATAGTCAAGAGCACTCGAATATTAATTTTATACGTTTTTAGTATTAGTACTATATTGATTGAGGTTCACGAGCTTCCTGGAGACCTCGAGCTTCCTTGAAGTGAAGGCATTATAATTGTAATACTCGGTTCCGAAAATTTAATTCAGAATAATTTAATATTAATAAAAATATATATATTTAAAATAATTTAATCTTAACTTTTATGAAATTTTGATGAAAATCGGATTTTGAATGCATTTGAAAATATTTTTAAAAATTATATCTAAAGTAGAAATAAGGGATGATCTATTTGGAAAAAAAAAATCTGAAAAACTTGGATAAAAATATAATTCTCAAAAGTTCGGCGTAAGTAGTGCGACTAATCGCGTGTGCTGAGTGGCAGACACGCGTCCACGCAGAAGGCCACGCGGACGATCCACATACCAGCGGATCCAACGACCAATATAGCATCTTATGCGCACAGACAGCCCAGATGCGTTTCCTCTTTAGGCGGATCGAACAGTTGGATTTGATCAGATCGTGAGGTCCAAATTAATTTACCAAATAAGAGAGATCCAACAGCTGAAAATGAGTCACGTCGCCTCGAACGGACAGTCTATATTTAATGAAAATGAGTATTTAAACTCCTATTCGTAAGGAACCAAAACCCTAGCCGAAAGAAGGGTGATCAGAGAATAAGAAAAGGAGCGGCCAGAAAGTGAACCAGACGTCAGAGAAAAAGACTGACCACCATCACTGCCGCACTAGAGCCATTGTCGATGTCAAAAAGATAAGATTTTTCTCCCTTCCACTCAGAATTGAATCCCAAACCTCCTCATGTCGGTATCGAAGACGAAAGGTCGACGGATGAGTCAAAAAATACGAGCGAAGCTCGGCTGAGCCACCACGGTCGAAACCTGAAACCTCTTCCAATGAGCCCCTTCCCGTTTCTCGTTTCTCTCAATTTTTTTACCATCATGTTCTTTGTTTCTTTATGGTGCAGGTTAGCTGAAGAAAAATTCTGATCGCAAAGGCGGAGCTGCCGCACCAGGAGACCCCTCTGCTGGTTGGGTCTCAGTTTTTTTCTTGTTTGATCGATAGAGGTTCCCTAACCTTGTTTTTTGTAGGTTTTCATGCAAAACCGGTCAAAAATGGACAAAAACGATTAGGCCAAGAGGAATTGCCACCATGGGCAGCGAAGTGATGCCGGAGCATGGGGACGCTGCCATGCCAGAACCCTAAATCGGCCAAAAAAAAGTTCAAAAATACTTATTTTGGCCTTTTTCGGTATTTTTGGATACATGACATGAGTTTTTTATTTCTGCAAAAAAAAATCAGAAAATCCGATAACTGCTATGAGACACAGTAAAAAGTACAATGTTTCAAATACCGATCCGAGATAAGAATCTCTCACTATTTTTTTCGTTATAGTAAATTAAAATCTAATACTTAATAACGGTATTTTTTGTAAAAATAAAAAATGAGTATGGGGTCGGCCAGTTAATCGATAATTGAATATTTAGTACACGCCTATGGAGGATCCCTATGAACCTTTAGAAGTACTGGTAAACAAGTAAAATGGTAAGTTTATTGTTATTGCTTATTTTAAGTATGTAATCGAAATGTTATTCGAGTTCTTGTTTTCATAGGTCGGTCTTGAAAACTCATAAGGGTAAGTATCAAATAATATTTTTTAAGTTAAACGAATTTATTTAAAAGAGAACAAGGGTTTTATTGGTGGTTTGACGATTTTTACCAATTTTTGATTTTTTGTATCGGTGTTAAATGTGATATGTTTACTAGGTTAGTGAGCTCATTCATCTTATTTAATCATTTCAGATAAGAAAGATCAATATTCAGATCCTGAACCATAAGAGAGTTGTGAATAAAAGTTACTTCCAGAATCTCATCAGAGTTGCCCAGTGGAGGTTAACCCTATAAGATTTGTTTTATAACGTTTGTTTCAATTATTTACTATATTATTTGAACTTTTATAAAATGACATTTTCGTAATTCTATCGGGTATCCCGAGTTACTGTGTAAAGAATGTAAATCTTAAATTCTAAAATTAATTCTTCCTATAGTCACTTAATTCAATACTTATATATTCAATAAATTTTGGGACGATACAATAAAGCTTATTATTGAAATTAATTCTCTTTATTTCATGAGTTTCTTTAAAATTAGGAAGAGTACAATCTGACGGCTATTGAATCAATAACTCAATAATATATATATATATATATATATATATTTTATTAAACTATGATATTCTATGTTTTGACATGCATATATAAAGTTATACATGTATTGATTCTTTGGCTTATTACGTTCGCAATGCTCCAATCAAGTATAATAAACTTTGTGCATGTTTTCCGTGGACCTCATAAACTCCCTCTCTCTCAATTTATGTTTAATCTTAATATTAATATGAAAATAATACAAACTCATAAATTGTGCATTTATCTTAAATTATATATACTAAAATTAATATGAGACTGTAATTAATTAATTAATAATTGATTACCAATTTATTAGAAATTGAATTAAACACGGCCCAATAGTCCTTAGAAATTCAAATTATGCAATGCCTCAGATACACAATGCTTAATTACATTCACTAGTAATTTAATACTGTTGTGTGCTAATCAATTTTTAACATTATAAACTAAATATTATTATATGATATTACCAACATATTATAAACTATTAAACAAATGGGTGACTACGAAATTTTAATTTATAAATGGGTAATTTTGATTATTAAAATAAATAAAAAATTAAAAAAAATTATTTTTCTTTGAATTAAAAAATACTTCAAAATTCTCTATTATCTATTTAATAGAATTAGACGAAATTATAAATTAATAAAAAATCTTAGTCATATTGTGTATGGAAAAAAGTTATTTGTAAGTTCAAAATTTTAAAGCCACTACTTCACGTAACATATAAAGCAAGATTTTAATTTCAATTTAAAAAGAATTTAAAAGGTAATTAATTATTAATTTAAAGAAAGTTTCATTAAGACGAGACATGATGGAGGACCCCATCTCTATATTGATATGGTCATAATTTTCTGCCCAAGATTTCCCATTCATTTAGAAAAAAAGATATATACTCATTGCTAATATATATGTATATGTATATAATATTATATTATGTGGATTGGCATTTGCCATAATATTTGGGATTGGGTGGCAAAGTAAGCTTCAATTTAACCTATATTCATATTGTAATGATGTAATTACATTAATGGATGTTGATGGTTCATAATTGGGTCGGTTCAATTTGTCAAATTTTTTTTTTTTTTTCAAAATTTACTTATTTTTTTTTTTATTTTAAAAAGTCACAACATCGGTTGGTAGATTTGAAAAAAAAATCTTTCTTTTTTTAAAAAAATTAAAGCAAAAAAGAAAAAGATTTAGTGCAAAGACATTATACAATTACATATATATATATATATATAACATTACATATTTCAATTATTAAATATATTATTATTATTATATTATTAAAATACTTAAATTGTATTAAGTAAAACAAACTAATCTCCAACTAACTAATTTAGCCTAAAGAAAAAAATACTAGAAGGAACAAAAAAGTCAAGTATTTTAAAAGTATTCGGACCAAAATGACATTTTATTTGTAACTGACTTATTTATATATATATTATATAAAATGAAAAACGTTCTCGATATTCATTGTAAATAGATATAATTTTTTATGAGTGTATAAAAAATTTTATTATAAAAAGATATAATTGTTAATGAGTATATAAAAAAAAAATTATTTCTATTTTATTAAAAAGATAGATAACGCCATATATTTATATTTATATATATATATGTAACTCCTAAGCCCTTAATTATATATTTTTAGGATAATAATAATGATTATAAATTTTTTAAAAAAAAAATTCTCAAAATTTAGAATATAATAACATTGTGCAAGTGTATAAAGTATAAGTTATTCTTAAAAGACAATAATTAGAATAAGTAAAAAAAGTTAAATCATAATAATAAAAGCTTAATTGTGTTGACTCGTGATGTCTCTTTTTTCTTTGCGTTGTCTTTTGGTACACTCTAAATTATTTCACACACCCATGAAAGAAAATTTGAAACCTATACATATACATATATATATATATAAAAGATAATATAATATAATATATGTATATATGTATATATATGTAATGCGGCAATGAATAATGGAATTGAACGTAAATATAAATAAAACAAAATCAGAATACGCCACCACCAACCAAAACTTGTACTCCTCCCCAAGATTGCCATTCCCATCATTATCCAACACATGCCACAGACGCTCGTGTGACCTAAATTTAACATTTTAGTTTCAAAGTGGGTCCCTCCCCCCCATCAACAAGTCTATACATGCACATACATATATATATATATATATATACATATATATATATACATTCCATGACACTTTGATTGCGAAAGCAAAACAAACAAACCAACCAACCATTCCATTTTTAATGTATATATATATATATATATATAGAGGTAAAAAGGGACGGTCCAGATTTGTGCCTTGTTTCATTGCGAGGATTCCGGTGTCTAAATATTTAAGCACCGGTCGGTTTTATTTTAATCATATCACATAATTAAGTAATACAAGGATTAATTAACTAATTAATTAAGTACTTATGATGGGTAAAAATAGATCTCCTGTATTAACTACTGCAATAATCGGTGGAAAATGTAATTAATTATAAAAAAAGAAAAGAAAAGTCTCGTTTTGTAAGACTCAACGAGTCACGTGACATTGATTTTCTTAGTTAATTAATTGAAATTTGAAAGAGAGAGAGAGAGAGAGAATAGGATTCGCTCGTGTGTGGTGCATGCTGACAAAATGCACCCCACAGTCACCTACATCCCTATTTGTTTAATTTGTCGGGCACCCGCCCCGAAGTCTCTCAAGCCCCGTGCCCCGACCCAACTTCATGCAACATACTCTTATTTAATTATATTTTCTTTTCTTTTCATGAAATTGTTGGTCTTTAATTAATTAATTAATTAATTAACATTTGTCATACCCACCACCCTCCCTATAAAATTGTCTTGCATTCTTAATCTAATAATATTATTATATCACGTAACACCCATAAGCACGCTCTACCTTATTTTTTGATTAATTTTATTTTGTTGTTATATTATTACGATGCACGTATAGATATATAATATTATATTATATAATATAATAATTGAAATGAAAGGGAAAAAACTAAAAAGGGAAAAGACATATTGTAGAAAGCAAGCTAATTAAAGTAAAGTGGAGAGCAAAGAGATAAGGAAAGGTTGAGTTGCCTGTCCGGCACTCTAACGTCAACACCCCGCTAATTAGTTGGAGGCTAAAATTGGTTTTTCATATAAATTAATTTTAAATATTATAATTATTAGGAACAAATTAAGTGGGTACGAAACTTTGAAAAAAATAGTATTTTTATAATGCGATGCCGTTTTAAAGGGTTCATGAATAGTTTTAAATATTGATTTTTAAAAAATAATTTTATACAACCAAAAAAGAAAAAGGGATTTTATATTTTGAAAAAAAATATAATAGAGAGAGAGAGAGAGCAACGTGGCGGGTAATTCACCGAAAAAGGGTGTGTTTGGGGGAGTGGAATTTGAGAGAAAGAAAGAGAGAATGGAATCCAAAGGTTTGACTGGACCCGAAAACTGAGAAAGAAAAATCCTACTCTCTTCCCTTCTTGTCTTTTTCCATTCGATTCCTCCATGTTAATAACTTGATTATGCTCCCGGTCAGTCATAAACCCCAAAAGGCTGTAATTCAAGCTTCTTCTTCTTCTTCTTCTTCTTCCTCCTTGCTTCTGCAACTTTCTTTCTTCTATTTTTGACCGAGAACAACAACAACTACACGCTTCAGCTTCTGGGTTTCTTTGGGTTTTTTTTTTTTTTATTTTATTACCTTTTTTTATCTTCACTCCTCAAAAAATTCAAAAAACAATCAATTTTTTCTCAGTTACTACAATGAAAACCCTTCTTTTTTACCACGTCTTCACTTTCATTTCAGAGCTCGGACCCCGACATTTCTGAACATCGTACTCAAACTCTGTCTTCTCTGCACTTCCAGCCCACCATTACATCACCACTCACCACCTTCCTCTTTCCAGGTATTCTTTCTTTTTTCTTCTTCTTCTTCTTCTTCTGCACTTTTTGTATCTACTCTATTTTTCTTGATCCTCCCCTTACTTTTTCTTGTCGTTGAGTATAATAATATCGTGTCTTGTTCTTCTTGTTTTCCATCGATTTAATATTCTTATTGTTGCTTTCAGCGATTCTATGTTGGGTTCTCAATTTGAGTCAACTTGATAATCACATCTACGATTATGATAGTGCTCTCCCCATTTTTGTTTTTTTTTTGTTTTTGGTAATTTTCTTATTTTTAACTTCAGCTCCTGCAAGCTAAAACCCTGAAATTGAAGCGAAAGTTTGAATCAGAGGATCCGAAATTGAATCGGACACGCTGAGTATTTCGTTTTTCGGTATTTTTTTCTCTTCATTTCTCAGCAAATGCGTCAGGAATCAACACGAGTGGGCAACTGTCCTGGAAGGTTCCTCACGGAGAAGAAAACACAGAGCCAGACCTAACCATCTGACTCTCATGTCAGCTTGGTTGGGTACTGTTTTGTCTACGAGAATCTGAGAGAATAAGCGTAACGATCAGTGAGAAAGAAGATGAAGAGAGAATGGAGGGTATCGTTATCATCATCTTCATTGCCATCATCCTCAGAAGATATCAACACAGTGAAAATCTTTGGCGTTTTCTTTTTACTTGTCAATCAGCTGCTAATCTTGGGCTCACAAGCCAGAAAATTGTCTGCACAGCAGCGGCAGAGCAATGATGAGGTGGTCTACCTGATGGCCTTCAAGCAACTCTCTATTCAGTTTGACCCAAACAGTTTTCTGGCTAACTGGACAGCTGATTCACCTTCCCCGTGCTCCTGGCATGGCGTTTCTTGCTCCCATGACAGCCACGTTACTGCTCTCAACCTCGGTAACTCCGGCCTTGTTGGTCGTCTTCATCTCCCGAATCTCACCGCCTTGCCAAATCTCATCAGCCTTGACTTGCATGGAAATTCATTCTCCGCCGGCGATCTCTCTGTTTCTGTGGGTACTTCTTGCAGTCTTCAAACTCTTGATTTGTCTGGTAACAGCATCTCCGACCCACTTCCAGAGCCGTCTTTTCTTGGGTCGTGTAGTCAGTTAGCTTATCTGAACTTATCTCGGAATTCCATCACTGGCGGCAGTATCCGGTTTGGTCCTTCTTTGTTGCAGCTTGATCTTTCTCGGAACCGGTTTTCTGATTCTTCCCTCTTGGGTTACACGCTCTCTCATTGTCAGAACCTAAATCTGCTCAACTTCTCCGGCAACCACCTCGCCGGAAAACTTGGTACTACTCCTTCTTGTAAAAGCTTGAACACACTAGATCTCTCCTACAATCTTTTATCCGGAGAAATACCGCCGACTTTTGCAGCGTCTATAAAGCATCTGGATCTGTCTTACAACAACTTCTCCGGTAAATTCTCTAACCTTGAATTTGGAAGCTGCAACAATCTCACTGTACTGAATTTATCTGGGAACAGTCTCTCTGGCCCTGAATTTCCAGTTACCTTAAGCAACTGCAAGTTAATGGAGACCCTCAATCTCTCGCACAACAACTTACATGGAGGACTTCCGGGGACCTTGTTGGGAAATCTAGTGAGTTTGAAGCATTTGTCAGTAGCTCATAATCAGTTTTCTGGTGAAATTCCACCAGAGTTGGGACATGCTTGTGGGACTCTCGGGGGACTAGATCTTTCAGCAAACAAACTTTTTGGCGGACTGCCACCCACTTTCACTCAATGTTCTTTTTTGCAGAGTTTAAATCTGGGGAACAATATGCTTTCTGGAGATTTTCTCAGTACAGTCGTCAGCAAACTCCCTAATCTCAACTATCTGTATGTGCCATTCAATAACATTACAGGTCCTGTGCCGCTTTCTCTAACAAATTGCTCTCAGCTTCGAGTTCTTGATCTCAGCTCCAATGGCTTCAAGGGGAATATCCCTGCAGGTTTCTGCTCTTCTCCGACTTCCCCGGTTTTAGAGAAGATACTTCTAGCAAACAATTATCTTTCCGGAACAGTACCTGTGGAGCTTGCTAACTGCAAGAATTTAAGGACAATTGATCTTAGTTTCAACAGCCTGAGTGGCCCAATCCCTTCAGAAATCTGGACATTACCAAATCTTTCTGATTTAGTCATGTGGGCAAATAACCTTACAGGTGAAATCCCGGATGGCATTTGTGTCAATGGAGGAAACTTGGAGTCACTTATCCTCAATAACAATATGATCACTGGAGCAATTCCACAGTCTATTTCTCACTGCACCAACATGATTTGGATCTCACTTTCCAGCAACCAGCTCACTGGTGAAGTCCCTCCTGGCATTGGTAATCTCCTTAACCTTGCTATTTTACAATTGGGTAACAACTCGCTCACCGGACTCATCCCTCCTGAGCTTGGTAAGTCTAGGAGCCTCATTTGGCTGGATTTGAATAGCAACAATTTTACCGGGAATATTCCATCTGAGCTTGCAACCCAAACTGGCTTCGTCATGCCTGGAAGTGTTTCAGGGAAGCAATTTGCGTTTGTAAGAAATGAGGGGGGAACATCTTGCAGGGGTGCAGGAGGACTAGTCGAGTTTGAGGGGATCCGTGCAGAGAGGTTGGAAGGTTTTCCTATGGTTCATTCTTGTTCATCAACTAGAATTTATTCTGGCATGACAATGTACACATTTACCAACAATGGCAGCATGATCTACCTTGATCTCTCCTACAATTCTTTATCAGGAACTATTCCTGAAGGTTTTGGTGTGATGAACTATTTGCAAGTCTTGAACTTGGGACACAACAAACTGACAGGAAATATTCCTGATAGCTTTGGAGGCTTAAAGGCTATTGGAGTTTTGGATCTCTCCCACAATAATCTTCAAGGGTTCCTCCCTGGATCTTTAGGCGGTCTCTCTTTCCTTAGTGACCTTGATGTGTCTAACAACAATCTTACTGGTCCCATTCCTTCTGGTGGTCAGCTAACTACTTTCCCAGCATCAAGATATGAGAATAATTCTGGCCTTTGTGGGGTTCCTTTGCCCCCATGTGGCTCTGGAGGTCGCCCAACAGACTTTCATGTTCGTGGAAAGAGGCAGTCTGTTGCAGCAGGGATGGTTGTGGGCATTTTGTTCTTTCTCTTGTGTATCCTTGGACTTACACTGGCCCTTTATCGGGTGAAGAAGTTCCAGAAGAAAGAGGAACAGAGAGAGAAGTATATTGAAAGCCTTCCAACTTCTGGTAGCAGTAGCTGGAAGCTTTCTAGTGTTCCGGAACCTCTGAGCATCAATGTTGCTACGTTTGAGAAACCACTTCGGAAATTGACATTTGCCCATCTACTCGAAGCTACAAATGGTTTTAGTGCTGACAGCCTAATAGGTTCTGGTGGATTCGGTGAGGTTTACAAGGCGCAACTAAGAGATGGTTGTGTTGTTGCAATCAAGAAGCTAATTCATATCACAGGTCAGGGAGACAGAGAATTTATGGCTGAAATGGAAACTATTGGGAAGATCAAGCACCGAAACTTGGTTCCATTGCTAGGATACTGTAAGATTGGAGAAGAGAGGCTTCTTGTTTATGAGTACATGAAATGGGGTAGTTTGGAGGCTGTGCTTCATGACAAGGACAAAGGAGGAGGCACAAAGCTTGACTGGGCAGCTAGAAAGAAGATAGCAATAGGGTCAGCTCGAGGGCTTGCCTTCCTTCATCATAGCTGCATACCTCACATCATCCACCGTGACATGAAGTCCAGCAATGTTCTTCTAGATGAAAACTTTGAGGCTAGAGTTTCTGATTTCGGCATGGCAAGATTAGTGAACGCCCTAGACACTCATCTTAGTGTAAGCACACTTGCAGGAACTCCGGGTTATGTTCCCCCTGAGTATTACCAGAGTTTCCGTTGCACAACAAAAGGGGATGTGTATAGCTACGGTGTAATTTTGCTAGAGCTTCTGTCAGGCAAGAGGCCAATAGACCCGTCTGAGTTTGGTGATGAAAACAACCTTGTTGGGTGGGCAAAGCAGCTTCAACGAGAGAAAAGAAGTAACGAGATTCTCGACCCTGAGTTGATAACAAAGAACTCGGGCGATGCTGAATTACACCAGTATCTTAAGATTGCCTTTGAATGCCTAGACGACAGGCCATTCAGGCGACCAACTATGATTCAAGTGATGGCAATGTTCAAAGAGCTTCAAGTTGATTCAGAAAATGACATCCTTGATAGTTTCTCCCTGAAAGAAACGGATCTTGAAGAATCACGAGACAAAGAACCCTAGTCCTTTCTATTTCAATTTGATTGGACGGAGAAGGATCCATTAAGGTTGCAAGGATAAACCGTTGACGTACTTTGAAATCAGAGATGGGTTTATCCCTCAGGTTTTGGCTAGTGTAAATAATAGAGCAGTGAATGAGGAGAGTAGTGCAAAGAAAACAACATTCCAGGAGCAAAGTAATGGTTTCTTTTCTTTTTTTCCCCCATTGACGGATCACCTGTAAAACTAAAAGCTTGAAAACTTTGTTCCTGATTCCATGATTGTGCTCTTCCATTCACAGTTTTGGCAACTGATATTTTAGTATTGGTGTTTAAAAACTATCAAATTCTTGTTGTTGATAGGAAACAAGAAACTGAAAGAAGTCGATAGAGCATTTTGTAAAGTTGTAGCATAGAATTTACACGAAGTGGAATCATAATTGTATTGTTTGCACTCTTTTAGTTTTATTTCTCTAAATCTGCATGATTGTCTTGTGAGTATTCTGTCTTGACAGGGTGGTTTGTGCATCTGAATTTTGACTGGTATGATTCTTAACACATTTCTTTGTCAAATGA